CACTTTTGATGAATATGGTGCATGGGATTGGTTAGCTAAAGATGAAAGTTCAGTTGTTATTCCTGCTGTTGAAAATATTGTTGAAGAGCAACCGATTCCAGATAATGTCTAGTCTCCTTCACAGCCAGAGTCGTCAGTTCGGCGATCTAAGCGTGAGCGCCACTTACCAGCTCGCTTGCAAGATTATGTTTTGGGTCATGATAATGACCTGTCTGGTGAAGAGATTGTTCAATTTGCTCTCTTTGCAGATTGTGATCCTTTGTCTTTTGAGGAGGCTACTACAGAAACTCATTGGCTTAAGGCGATGGATGAGGAGATACGTGCCATTGAAAAGAGTCGTACCTGGGAGTTAACAGATTTACCTCCTAGGAAGAAGCCAATTGGAGTCAAGTGGGTTTACAAAATGAAATACAAGTCAGTATATCCAACTTGAAGACGAAGACATTTCTCAAATTGAAGAAGGAAATTGGAATGACCAATACATCCAACTTGGGTTAAAGGAGGCAATGTTATAATAATAATATTAGTAATATTATTAGTAATTAAACCAAGTCAAAGAATTTAATAAAAACAAACATGGGTGAGTCATGTATGTTAATGTGGAACATGCCTAAATTATGGAGTAGTACATGGAGCATTAGCTTCCTATTTATTAGCTTTCTCTTAGTATAAATATGTGGTGTATTTTCATTTGTTAAATCATCCCAGTGAATAAACATTATTCATTTTAATCTTTCTCTCTCTCTCTCTTCCTATTTATATATTATTATATATAAATACATAGATATATTATATATAATATATATATTATATTTAATATATCTTACAGGCGCTAGTCGGGCAGTAGAGTAGCGCCTAGCGCCTAGACGGCCTAGGCGGCTAACTGAAAAAATGGAAAACAGTGCACGTGTGTTGATGCATATATATATATATATATATATATATATATATATATATATATATATATATATATATATATATATATATATATATATATATATATATATATATATAAATTAGCAAGGTCGAGTCGGCCGGGTTAACTCGGCTAACTCGACAGAAATTGACGAGTTAACTCGGCGTAATCGGCCAAGTTAGGCGCTAGGCGGCCCGTCTCCTAGGCGGGAGCCTAGGGGGGAAATCGCCATGGCCTAGGGGCGCCTAGCGCCTAGGCGCCGATTACTCGGTGCCTAGGTGGGATTTTTGCAACCCTGATGGAAGGTTATCAGTTCGAGTCTCAGTGAGAAGTTATAGGTTCGATACTGTATTTTAACAAAGTCAATAGTACTCAAAAAACATTGGCGTCAACAAACTTTATATATAAAATGATATTTCCAATTAAGGGTGTAAATGAGCTCGAGCTATAATGTTTTAGGTTCATGGCTCGTCAAGCTGCTTGCGAACCATATATATATGATTATAGCCGAACGGCTCGTGAGCCGCTCAGTCAAAGCTCGACTCGAACACGAGCCGGCTCGTTTTATAACTGAGCCGAACTCGAACTTCAATTTTCAAACTCGAGCCAATCTATTATTTATCGAGCTCGAACTTGGTTCGCCTCGTTTACGCCCCTATTTCCAATACAATATCATATCACACATCTTCATTTGCAAAAAGCTGTTATAAATTGTGAATGTTACACCAAAAGTAATATTACACATTTCTTAATTTTTATTTTATTTCTTCTATTTTCTCTGTTTATATGATATGTTTTGATGCATTCCAAAAAAATTGGCCTTTAATTTTTATTTTTCTTTATTTTTTTCTATCAATAATCACATATGCGGCCGAAGTTTTATTCTAATATAAAATTTTCTGACATGAACCACTGCTCCTCTCAACACAATAATAATAATAAGCTGTATGTATATCATATATTCTTTTCTCACTGCATCAATCTCCATTGTTTTCTGCAATCAGAAAAAGAAAACTCCCACAACTTCTTCATCTTTCATGTGGGAGCACAAAAACAGAAATTTGAGCAATAAGGGCTGCCTTTATTGCTTTCAACACAAAAGTAAGCTAACAAAAGATGTGCCCTTCCACCATTCAAAAAGTTGTTATTATTATTATTATTATTATTATTATTATTATTATTATTATTATTATTATTATTATCATTATTATTATTATTATTATTATTATTATTATTATTATAATTTAAAAAAAAAAAAAAAAAAAAGAGAGCAACACTTTTCATCCCTAAATTATGGAAAAAAATAGAATTTTTTTTTTTTAGAAAAATAGAATTTTGTTATTCTTTAATTGTTTGTGAAGTTTTTTTTGGTCAGTGAGTTCTATTAGGGTTGGGTTAAAAACTTGACAATTGAGGAAAAAAATGGTGAAGGTATAATTGTGGGATGAAAAATGTCATTTTTTTTTTATAATTCAAAAGCGAAAAGTGTAATTTTACCTTTTCAAAATGATTTTCTCACACTCAACTTGTTCCACCTGATTAAGTTTTAAATCTGACAGCTTGGAACAAAAGTAGGTTTAATTTATTGACACACAAATATTGAAGAAGGTTAGAAGGGGGAAGGCTGATCGAGTTGCAGCAGCTCTCCTGGCCTCTACCCACTTTCGATTCTCAAACCCAACAACTCTCTCTCTCTCTCTCTCTCTCTCTCTCTCTCTCTATATATATATATATATATATATATATATATATATATATATATATATAGGTGTGTGTGAACCAACTATCAATTTAAATTTTTAGTTGAGATGAAGCACATGATTCAACTAAACCAACATATATAGGTTGGATATTAGGAATAAACTTCCAAGCTAGACTTTGTAATTTTATTGTAATATCTTGTACATGCAAAAATGGTTTCACATGCATTATCCAAAACAGAACGACACTACCTGCACGGGCTTAGCTTAATGGTTTAGCGGGTAGTATTTGGGGTAAGAGACCAAGGTTTGAACCTCGGTGGCGACGGCAAATTATGCTGTGCATCCGTATGCACCATGCATGGGGCATACGGATGCAAAAACTACGCCGTTTTAATGAAACGCGCGTCTCCCCTTAAAAAAAAAAATCAGGTTCGATTCCCAACAACAACATATGAACTAAAATTTCATAATCGATGAACTATAATTCCATAATCTAATCTATGAACTAAAAATTCCAGAATGAATGAACTAAAATTCCATAATCATCTATAAACTAAAATTTCAGAATCGATGAACTACAATTCCAGAATCGATGAACTATAATTCCATAATCAATGAACTATAATTCCATAATCAATGAACTATAATTCCATAATCAATGAACTATAATTCCATAATCTATGAACTAAAATTCCAGAATGAATGAACAATATAATGTTGTTGTTGGGAATCGAACCTGAATTTTTTTTAAAGAGGAGACGCGCGTTTTTTAATAAAACGACGTCGTTTTGGCATCCGTATGCACCATGCATGGTGCATACGGATGCACAACATAACGATTGGGTGGCGACAGTGTGGGAATTATGTGGGCAGATTCCTTGTGCGCACCGGCATTTGGCCCTATCTACTAACCCGACACTGTTTGGTAACATAGTTCTAATTTTGATATAGTAAACTATTTGACTTACATTAAACAATGAATATAGTCTTTGATTAATTAGCTTTTTGTAACAACTTATTGCTCTAAAATGTTAAAATTCAAAAAGCTGCTCAAAGCAGTTTTTTCGATTAGCTTTTTGAAAAAGTCATTTTTGAATGTAATCAACTATAAGCTAAACAACTAATTTACCAAATACTTTTCTACAATCAACTAATGTTATCAACTAGTCAAACTCATTAACCCAATCAGCTAATAGCTATCAGCCAACAGTTATATACTAAACACTTCCAACATTTCTTGTCGTGTGCTTGAGAGAGATGAAGTGATGGGCTTGTTGCAAGGTATTGGTAGATGGAAGCACAGAGGAAGATAATTTAGAGATCGATTGGAGTAGGAGATGAAGTGATGAATATGATGAAATCTTTCCATATAACATATTACATGACCCTTTTTTTTTATATACCCAGGATTTCAACGTCAAACACAGTGACTAATTCATTCGTTGGATTGTAGACATCTCTTTTGGGTAGAACAGTTGGTCTGGAGGCACAACACATGACCTTTAACATACAACAAGCTAAGAGATCAAATTTGGAAAGGTATATTGATTGAAGGAAATACCAAAACACAGATTACATGATCTTTAATTTGCCATATCAGAAGGCATAAGTTCTGAAACATTTACAGCTGCAGGCAGATTCAGAATTTTCTTCACTATCATCATCTTCATATATTCTTGGAATGTGGAGTGGATCGGAGCATAAATGAATCCTTTAATTTCACCATGCATCCTGCTCGATCATCTTTTAATGGATCATCATCATAGTACAATTGGAGACAAATTCATATAAATGAACTATATATAATCTAGTAACGACTTAATTCCATTTATGTCATATATTTATAAATGATATGTCTACTTTTAGTCCTTTGTTATAACCATTTGTTGAAATGTCGTTAGATACAAGGATATTTCGATATTTTTTATACAAAGTGTGTTAACCGGTTATATTTTTTATTTAGACGTAAATGCCTTTTTTACAGAATTTAAACGATTTTGTTGATAGAAGACAAAAAATTATCATGACACAATAATACTAGAACCAAAGAAGGATGTTTTGAAAAAAAAAAAAAAAAAAAAAAAAGAAAGACTAAATGGAATATTTGATTACCATTACCAAATATTTGATTTCCATTTCGATTCCAATTTTCATGTGCGAACCAAACACACCCACCCTAAATTATCTAGTAAGTGTAGTAACATGGAAAAAACCTTCATACAAAGACAATGACAAGATTAAAAGTAATTGCCATTGTCCCATAGGCTTTAAATACATATATACATGAAAGAAAGAGAGGCAATGTTATAGTGGTTGTGTTTGATGAATGATGAATGATGAATGATGAATGATGAATGATGAATGATGATGCACACCTGAAAGAGGAAATACAGAAATTTCATACACTACACTTTCAGTTGGGAATTGGGATGCTATTGTTATACAAAATCCACACTTCATTATAACATTTAAGCAGAGGAAATGTTCGATTTTGAGTTATATGAGTGTATTATTACACCATCATCTAAGTTCTATGAACAATTCGGAGTAGAAACAGTTAACAATGGCTAGAACAGGCAAAATTCTTCTCACAGCCCGTGTAGTTAGAATACTAAAACCAAACCCCCCATCTGAAGAAAAGTCATTGCCTAGGCGACACATGTTCGACCACTACTTCTACAGACTCCCCGTTTTCATTACTCTCACTCGTACCTGTAGCTGTTACTCCAATGCCGCCTCTGTTTTCCACTGTTGGCGAAGCAGTGTCTGTCTCTGCTTCACTCACACTGCCAGGCCCGGCATTTTCAGTGCGGACTGGGCGTAGGAACCCATGCAATCTCAGCATATAGCTCTGGCTAGAAGATTGTGTTCTCACATAGCTGTTTGCTGTCACGCTGTTGGAGGATGACCTCTCCGAATCAGAATGGATATTGGACAAAGCACTTAAATCGAGATTTGGAAAAACTGAACATCGGCATCTTGGGCATTTTACATTTAGGTGAAGCCACTCGTCAATGCACTCCACATGGAAGTTATGAGCACAAGGCAGACCACGGACCTGCACAATCTTTATTATTAAGAACTGTTTCTAAGGACAAAACGGGACCTTCATACAATTGATATCATAAGTCTTGCCAGCAAATTCCTAATGATGAAGTTACTACTAATATGGAAACTCAGAATGAGCTAACATACTAATATTTACTGGGGTTGATTTTTACCCAAGGCATTGATGGGATGGGGTTGATTTTTACCTCATTTCCAACATGAAACTCTTCCAAACAGATAGGGCATTCACTGCAATCAGTTGGGACAGCCTTCATCCTGAACTTAGGAAGTTCCTGTATAAGTGCCTCCACTGCTTCTCTCTACAATTAGAGGCAAAAACACCATCACTTTAGGTAATAAAATAAGATGGTGACTTCTGATTACTGAGAGACTAAAAATGCTACTACTATTATATGTTTGGCAAACAACATTGAGGGTCGACTGCACAAGACTTTATAGTTTATTTAAGCTAACAATCCAAAACTAACTTGGAGAGGATTACAGATTACAAATCATCCATAAATACATATTAAAAACAAAAAAGAATAACTCATAATCATAAGCTGCTAAAAGGCACATAATTAAAAGAGTTATGAACACACTGTAGAACCCTGTACAGATTAAATGATCATTGAGCACAGCAAAAATAAAAAGACAACAAATATAAAATCTTCAGTAGCTTACTTAGGGCTTTGACTGGAGCAATAGGGTTATTATTGTTACAGAGATTCATAAACCACATATATATGCAGGAATACCAATTGTCTTAATGAATGACTTTGTAAGTATGCCCTAGGTAATCTTAGTTTCAAGTCCCTACCCACTGAACATGGACAGCTTTGGCATATACAAGATGTGCAATTGGCGGAGCCACAATGGGGGCAGCTGCCCCCACTCCCCTACCCCATCCCATTTATATATATTGTATGTATAAGTCCCTTGTGTATACATAGTTAACTTATAAATACTAAATTTACATAAATTTAACCAAAGGTTGAGTTAGCTTAGATGGTAAGATATTGGGTTTTTTCCTAAATGTTAGGGGTTCAAATCCTACATCGTGAATTTATTGTGAGATTATTTCAAATTGAATTTTTTATTTGTAACATTGTGTTTTTTTAATCTCATTTTTTAATATTAATAGTGATATTAGTGATTTATAATATGTTTTCTATTCAAACTATTTTATGTAATTAATTATATTTCATATTTTGTGGAATTTTTATTTGTAACATTGTGTTTTTTTTTTTTTCTAGTTTTTTAATTTTTTAATATTAATATTGATATGAGTGTTTTATAATATGTTTATTTATTCAAATTATTATATCTAATTAATTATATTTTATATTTTGATTTGAATAATTTTTTATCTGATTTTGATGTATTTTAATTTTTCATCCTAAATAAAAATATTTATGACTCGGCCTCTAAATAATTTTATTTTTTTTTCAAAATATCTCATTGGTTTTTAATCTTTCGCCCCCACTGGCAAATATTTCTGGATCCGCCCGTGTGCAAATCAGTGAATAGAGATGTGTGATGTGTCCTCTACCTTTTGAATTTTGATAGTAAGTTGTTACATATTACCTGAGCTGCAGTCAAGTAAAGTCCAGGATGGTACACAGCAGCATCTTGGCCCATCCCCCTCATTTCTTGACCAACATCAAATGCCCATTCTGGCACCCGAATCATGTCAACCAACACCTGTAATGAACAAAATGTCTCAGAAACAGGCATGAAAAAGGAGTTCAGTGGGAATTATATGATCAAGCTTCCAAACTGCAATAAATTGAAGTTACTTCAGTCTCCATTTAATCAAGGAGCGACAGGAAAACTTCAGCATTTCTAATTAGAGCTTAACAGCCTATTACAGTCTTTACTTATCTACTGACAGAATTGAAATTCTCATATATAAATAACTCTGGTGCTTATGTTTTTAACTTCTTGAATAAGAACTAATGTTCTTTTATTGCTTTATCATCACTCCAAATATCAAGTTGAGAATATGACAGAAATTCCAGTGCCCCAAGCAAGCCTACTGCGAACCAATACCCTCAAATGTATACATCCATTAACTAAATGAAATAGGGTTTAAGGAAGGGGAAAGAAGGAAAATGCAACAATTTATGACATCATATAATTAATTTATTTTTGCATTCATGTGCACATGTAAGATATATCTGATTTAGATCTTTTCAGTTGGATAGTTCATCTCTCCACTACAATGAAGTAGTGCTGTGGCAAACATCATTCTAATCCCTAACAAAGGCAAAGACAGAAAGGTAATAGTGAGTATCTGCCTATCTGGTCTCTAACTACAATAAGGACACGAGTTCAAGTAAACAAAATTCTAGTGGAATTTGCATATAACAGAAGAACCAACTTGTTGTCCCTATTGGTTTCTCTTCATCATTCGAATTAAAATGGCCAGTTCATAATCATCCATACCACATTTTATTCCATACCAGTTTCATTTTGGTCATTTAACTATCTTAGGACTTAAATGTAAATGCTCCAGAAGCTGACTCAAAACATGCTTTTAACTAACAATGCATCCATGAGAATAAGGAAAGACTGTTAGAAAAAAATGATGGAGAAGGATGGGCTAATCCGCACCAAAGCTCTTCAATTTGACTCATACCCAGAAAACAATATTACTAAGAGCATTAGAGATTTGGAGCAATAAACCTAACCCCAAACCAATTGTTGGATCCACAATGCCGAAGAAAAGGAAAAGGCATGAAAATTAATACTAAAATTCATATTTTAAAGCTTACCCCAAATTCTGAAAAAGATGGCTCCCGTAATAAATGTGCTTGTCTTCTTGCCAAGAACTGCAAGTATAAATTTGAAGATGAAAAGAAAGGTATCAAGTTGAAGTAAAACATATACCATCCTGTTTATATATGCACAAGCAACAGCAGTAATATGGCAATAACATATCTTGAGAAACTGAAGAAAAAAAAAAAGAAAAAAAAAAAAAAACAAAGAACAAAAGCAGGGGAGCAAAGCTTTTTTCTTGTTCATTCCTTTTCTTTTTTTGTTTGGTTGGTCAAGGAGGAATGAATGAACAAAAGGAACAGAGAGGAGGGACTAAAAAATCCAAAGTAGAGGGAATAAAAACTAACCTTCCCTAAAGATAGGCAAGCAATACACACAAGTCCACAGTAGCTAAAAAGCAACCAGATTAGAAAACCCCATTTTTGACCTTCTTCTGGAAGCTGAATGAATTCACACATTATTTTGACTACAAGCTGAGAGAGGGAAATAAAAATTGAATTGAGACAAGTGAGAAAACTTACACAATTTCGTGCACTAGTGAACCATAAAGTACCAATAATGGTCCAAACCCAAAGAAAGGGATAGAGCAGCAGAGCTAGGATGGAAAGAACGACTATTCTTCCACAAAAACGGGCATGTCTCTGCTGCCAACCAAAATCCCTGTGATAGGCAAAATATACAAGACGTTAGCTACAAGTCTAATTATGTGACCCTTCCATATATGATGCAAATAAATAACTAAAAGCAAATGTCTTAACTAAAGCAAAAGCTGACTTCGGTACCAATCTTAGCATAACGATTGAAATAGTAAAGGTAACTGCATATACCCTGGGCACCCACCCAGTGCGTATTCTTCCATACCACAGGGGTATTACAACAGACCAATAAAATATAGATAATAGTAATATATTTGGCAAAAGGAAAGACATTGCATAACCAACTAGGTGTTACTCATATTGTGTCTAACAATACAGCATATTGCAGTTCAGCATTAAATCCTGCCGCTGACCATAGTAAATTGTTTCAGATTAGAGATAAACTTCAAATTTTACAAGTAACAATTCAAAAGACAAGACATATTGCTTTACATAGAAAATAAATGAGTCCTTACAATCCCATTCCAGCAGCAAGCCCATTATCCACAAACATCAAAAGCCGAAAGATAAACACAGTTGTGTAGTCAACCTGAACCAAGGTACATATAATTAAACTGAAGAAAAACCTTTTAGCAAGTCCAATGCGGCTGTGGCCTGTGTGTGTGTGTGTGTTTTTTGACTCAATCTGTCAAGAGAACTCAAGATACCTACCACAATCCATATGTGCAAGGGGTATACACAAGAATGGTACCGCTTCCAATTGATCGCCACTATTATTCTACTTACAGTTAAGAGAATACATAAAATTCCACAAGTATCAATCCAAGAAAGCAAATGATAACAATTAACAATGACGATGGTGATCAGAGGAGCTTGTCAAACGATCAATTATGGGGAAAAAATAAACTAAAGTAATTTTAACAGCAAATATGAGCCAACAAAACCCTGAGGGTTCCAATATCCAAAGGATACATACTTGTAGCCAGCATTGACAAGAAAAATCCATCATACCTGCGAGAATTACAACTCAATTCATCCATACTAGATAAACCACACAGATATACAGCAAAAGCATAATTTTACAGTTAGTGTAGCAGATTTGAAGAACTCACCACTTGAAATCGACGCCTCTCATAGCCATGGAAGAACAAGCCACACCTCCGAGAAAACCTAAGACTCAATTTCCCTCATTCCACGGCGAAATCGAACAGGACACCGAAAACCTCTATCGCCGGCGACCGATTCCGCTCCCGCTCCTGCTCCGGCACCGCACCGACCACAAACAAATACGTCGGCAGTTCGTATCTGTACGGTATATCCGTACGCGTAGTTGCACAGCAACGATGAATCTGCGGGGAAAAAGGGCGGTTTCTTTTTTTCTGGGAGCTTTACACAAGCGGTGGACTAAAACAAGAAGCAGAGGTCTTTTAGTTACAGTGATGCGAAATGACGATGACGGAGATTTGACGGCGTCTGGAAGTGCCGACGGAATTAATGCTGCTGAAGGTGAAGAAAGTCTGACGGAGTCACGGAGAAGTGATGTGTGGCTGACGTGTCAGAGTTAGGTCCGTCTTAGCTGGGATTTAAATTATGCCTTTTCCCTACGGTGTAATCTTTACTTTACCACATTCCACGGCTCCACGCCATAGTATTATTATGGGATGTGTTTTAAATGATGGTTAGTTGGTTGTATTAGTGTGTTTGGTTACTTCATAGTATTAGTTAATTGTAAAGAAATATTTGGTAAATTAGTTGTTAGCTGATTACGTATAAAATGAGATTTTTAAAAATTGATAGAAAAAGTTATTTTGAACAATTTTTTGAATTTTAGCATTTTGGAGCAATAAATTGTTATAAAAAGATAATTAATCAAACACTTATATTGATTGTTTAACCAATTCAAACAACTAATAGTGGTCAAATAAGCCAAAATTAGTTGATAGGCTAACTATTTTACCAAATAGGACTATGATTTAGGAGAAATTACCGTTTTGGTTCTCATTGTTTCCAACTGTCAATGTAGTTCACGGTTTTAAATTTCAACTAATTTGATTCTTAAATTGTTTAAAATTTCATCAATTAAACCCTTTGAGGATCCCACACCATCCTTTGGGAGGACTAGGTTTTAAGGATCTTCGGGCGTTTAACTTGACAATGTTGGGAAAACAAGGTTGGCAGTTCCTAACCAAGCCCTCTTCTTTAGTGGCACGGGTCTACAAAGTCAAGTACTATCCTAAAACTTCGTTTATTGATGCTACCATAGGAAACAGTTCAAGTGCTTGTTAGATGGTATTTTTGTCACGCAAAATTTGCTTTGTGATGGTTTACGACGCAGAATTGGTGATGGGGAGTCTACAAGTATACTTGGGGTTCCCCTTGGTTACCTAATGCATTGAATCATTTGGTTGAAACCCTTTGCCCCCTTATCTTGATAGAGCAAAATTTTCAGGACTTATTAATCTAGACTAGACACGAAGCAGTGGGATCTAGATATTTTGAAGGATATACTTCTTCCTAGGGATGTTGATTTAAGTTTGAAGGTGCCAGTTAGCCCGGACTATGTTGACTCTTGTTATTGGGTGGATGATGTTTGGGGAGTTTATTCAGTTAAAAGTGGTTATAGCCGCATGCACCGCTTGGTATGTAGCGTTGCTACGTTGATGCCGCTTGGGAGAGTAGTATGATAAAGGTCTCTATAGGGGCAGTGTTATTAACGGTGACTGGTCAGTTTATAGCAGCTACATCTGGCCCTCTTCAGTGTTGTGATTCACAGATTGCAACACCATGCATAACAATCTTCTCTTTACGGCTCCGATCCTTTCTTATATGGGTATTGTTATTATGGACTACAAAGCTTTGATGCGTTCTTTTGAATTTTGCCTGATTATTTATGTTCATAGAGATGATAAATATTATTGCTCATACTTAGCAAAATTATGTAATTCATTTTTGCATGATATTTCTCTATATTGAGACACTGTCCCCCCTGCCTCTATTTTGGAGTTTCTACTTTAATATATTCATTATCTTTCCCTTTCCGAAAAAAAAAAAAAAAAAAAAAAAAACACTTCGAGGATCAAATTGACGAAATTTTAAAAAGGGAAAAGTGTCAAATAGGCCTCGAACTTTAACTTAAAAGTCAATTAGGCTCCTAAACTTTTTAAATGTTCAATTACACCCATCAACAATTCATTTAGGTGCAATGAAGCCCAAAAACAAGTTAATGAACTGTTATCACAGGTCATTAGGGTTCAGGCCACCTTCCGGCGAATTTTCTGACAAAAAAAAAAAGGTGATCAGCAACCGACCCAGATTTGCCGAAAATTTCGCCACACTTCTTTTGTCGAAAATTTCGCCGGTCACTTTTTTTTTTTTTTTTTTACCGGAAAATTCGCCGGAAGGTGGCCTGAGCCCTAATGACCTGTGATAGTAGGTCATTAATTTGTTTTTGGGCTTCATTGCACTTAAATGAATTGTTGATGGGTGTAATTGCACCTTTAAAAAGTTTAAGGGCCTAATTGACTTTTAAGCTAAAGTTCAAGGGCCTATTTGACCACTTTCCCTTTTAAAAATAAGGAAATCACAATTTTGGTCACTCAAAAAAGTTTGATTGACAACATTTTAAACAATTCAAGGATCAAATTAGTTGAAATTGAATATTAAAGACTACTATACATTGATAGTTGAAAAATAATTAAGAGAAAAATAATTAAGAGACGGAAACAGTAATTTTTTTCTTATATTTATTATGAAAACCATTACTACAACTGTGATACTTTCTCCTACGCATTTAATGGATTGGATTCATTTATTAAAGTTTGTTCGAAATTATTTTTAAATAATATTTTGTTTATATTAACATTAGTTTGGTGTTAATTTTTTTTTTAAAAATTTAATTATTTATTTTCATTAGCTATCATGTGAATGAACCGACTCCACACAACAATAAGTTAGCAAAAAAAAAAATTAAGGTAACAATTAAATATCTAAAAAAATTACTATAGTAATGAATAATCAATATTATGGAGTGATTTTATAGAAGAAGTATAATATTTATCTTTTTTAAATAAAATTTAAATGTAAACATACAACTGTTACCAGGATTATGTTGTTTAATGGTATTCGGGTTGGACTTCCATTTGGAAGGTTGTGAGTTTGAGCCTTAGTGGAGGCATTATTGGCTCTTTGTGTTTCAGTAGGTTGAGAAAGTATATGAACAGATACTACATTCTAATAGAGCTAGTAGCATTCAAAAAAAAAAAAAACAAACATACACCTGTTACGTGAGCAAAACATAAAAGTCTATTACGCAAAATTATAATTCTTTAATTATATTTTTATATCATAAGGAGCATACGTTTTTAATGCACATGTTAAATTTGCATAGTGCATATTCACATCTAGGGAGATCAAACTTATGACCTTCCATTTAAGATAATCTTTTCGTGTCACTAAACCATAAAATCATTAGCAGATGAATGTTTTTTTTTTTTTTTTTTTTTGTCAGACCATGAAATGACATGTGAGCGGTTTTATTTGATCCATCTTATACATAAGAAATTTTTGTCTTAAAAGTCGACAACAATAACGGCTAAAACGTTGTGGCATTTGTGCAATATTGAAATGACTTTTAATAGTACATTTTACATATGTACTTGGTATCACTAAATACCATTTCCAAAAAATACTATTAAACAAAAATAGGAATTTAAAATGGTAATAAAACATTAAAAATAATAAATGAAAAAAAAATCAGTTTAATCTATAAAAATAAATAAGAATTTTTTTTTTTTTTGTTTTTGTTTCTACGCAATAAAATCTTTAATAATTCAATTAAGTTTCACCACAACCCTAATAAATATTATATTAATTTATTGTGCTTACTAAATGCTAAATAGATTTTTAAAATAAAGACAAAAGAATTAAAGTGTTATTAACCAATGAAATAATGGCTCTCTATATGCCTTAGAAAACCTTCATTTACCATAGTAAGGTGTAAAGATGTTTTATGTGTATATATATATTTTTTTGTTTAATATTTATAGTGTGATTATTATGTGAAAATTTATAGTTTATGATACTCCATATTTAATTATTTGTTTAAGACTACACTAGATGTTATATATATATATATATATATATATATATATATATATATATATATATATATATATATATATATATATATATATATATATATATATATATATATATATATATATATATATATATATATATATATATATAGAGCCATTCGCACGCAAACACCCTTAAAATACAAACTTGTGGACAAATATTGGCCATTAGATTAGAGTAGATGAATGGATTAGATGCAAGATGACAAACTACTGCCACGATCATAATTACATATGAAAAGGGCAAATTAGACAAACAACATGAATCCTAATTAAGGCAAACCTACGATTCTGATATGCAACCTAAAATAAAGAATATTAATTCTAGTATGATTAGTTATTATGCAATACACGGCACTCCCAGTCCACCTTGACCCACGACTCCAACGGCAAATACCGTACATAGCAGGAAACCGGCGACACCACAGCAGTGCACACATGATCGAAACTAACCCCCGCGCACAGAAACACGTCATAGCGGTGCACACATGGTCAACACTTATCCCATATCAAAGTATATATATCGCGCACACAATGAAAGTACGCCCGGGCACACATAATGGAGGGACAAAGACCGCAACCGTACAACATTATTTATATGAAGCACCCTTGTTATTAATACACCTGGTAAAATAAATTTAAAAAACAAAAACAAACCGGTAGAATGTACAATGTGCACACTTCCATTAATTTATAAATTGTGTACAATACTGCCATTAATTGGATTATATGAACACTCATTGAGTACACGGACTCATTAATCCATAGCACTCTGTATCTGTATATAAAAAAAATAAAAAAAAATAAAAAAAAATAAAAAGCACAGCAATCACCCTACGCACACGGGGAAATAAGTACGAGCACACAACTATTAGTCTACACACCAAGTTCACACCCACCCGCGCACACATGATCGAAACTAAGCCCCGCACACAAAAACACGCCACAGCAGTGCACACATGGTCAAACGTTATCCCATACCAAAGTATATATACCTCACACCGAGCGCACACAAGCCATATTGCAGTGCACATAGGAACCCACTTATTCGCACAAACATTAAAGGGAGTAGTAATTAGGATAACATGCAAGAAGATAAACTAATAAGCATTGGATATAAGCAAATACGGAGTAAAAAACACAACCACGCAATAGCATATGAGTGTGCGCACCACAGCGGGAGAGAACAGCGTACACAACCAAAAACAAAAACTAAGCACAATTACAACGTCTGGGTGCACACAACCCCAAAAAAGCCAAAAATGAGTAACTAAATAAGTCACAAGTCTA